AATGATGAACTGTCTTTAACTGAAAAATTAGTGTTTAGTATTGTCACTTTGCATTACTGACACACTATTTTCCTAATTAATGCTGTTCAGTTGCTTTGACACAATCTGTATTGTTAAAAGCGCTATATAAATAAAGGTGACTTGACTTGACTTGCGTTGTCAGGCTACTGATGTGCATGTAAACGGGGAAAACTGGTTATTTTAATAAGCTGGTATTTGTGAGTTACCAGCTTACTGGAGTGCATGTTAACGTGCTCATTGTCTGTTGCTAAATTAGTAATGTGTGTAATGATGCATGAGTATGAAATAAAACAATTTACACAAACATCTCTTTTTAAATGGTATTCCGTTCACAGCCTACTTTCGAGATTTGCATATAACATTAAGATATAACTCCAACTGTGAAAAAGAAAAACACTTTATTTTAGCTTGCTTTGAAAAAGAATACTTACTACAGAAATAATAGACTTTAAAAGAATATACTTAAGTGTGAACTGAATGTAATGTTTTCAGACATTAAAACTAAAATGTTGAAATGTAAATGCAATTAGCTGAACTTTTTGACTCACTTAAGTAGGACTTAAGTACATTTTAAAATGTAACTACTTGTACTGCCGAATGCACTGTGGCAATAATATATATATTGTGTTTAGATATGTTAAGAAAAAATGTCTCAAAAAATTGTCAGCTCAAGCAATGCAAAAATGTAGCTTAAGTTTCTAACTCATATTTAATAGCACTGAAGTGTTAGGGTTTTTTGCAATACAGTCAACTTTTAACTGAGTTGTACTGGAGTGTATTATATAAGCAAGATTAGACAAAAATATCATTTGTAGTGGGATATGTTTTAGAAATGCAGTAGGCCTATATACAGTATATAATATACTTGTAATATATGTAATATCAAATAACACTCAGCAGTTAAAATGATAATCAAGTACTTCACGTGTGCTTTAGTATGTTAGTCAACACATCACAATAAATGTACTTCTTGCAAACACGACAAAAGATTATTAAAATATTATGATTTAAAATGTATTTTAAAGTAAAACGTTGGTAACACTTTATTTTAAGGTGTCCTTGTTACACGTTACATGTACTTACTATTATAATAACAATTAATTATGCATAATTACATGCAAGTAACCCTAATCCAAACGCTAACCATATAGTAAGTGTGTGTAGTTAATTAATATTACTCAGTATAATTACACTGTAACAAAGACACCTTAAAATAAATAATAACTTGACATTATTACAAATGTCACTTTTTAAAAGTGTACTTAAGTGTGTTAAGAAAGTGTCTCTCTTTAAGTCACTTAAGTGGCCTTTTATTTTATTCATTTTTATATATATTTTTAAGATTTGAAGTACACTACAAGTGCACATTCAGTACAATTTTTATGCAAATGGTATACATCTTTTTTTTCACAAGTGCCCATAAATGCATGTTCAGCTCTGTATCTCTGCATGTGCTGTCAGTGATTAACTCCGTCTCTGTCTCAGGAGCGACACAGGGGTGTTCGTGTCGGACATTGTGAAGGGTGGAGCGGTGGAGACAGACGGACGGCTGATGCAGGGAGATCAGATCCTCTCGGTTAACGGCGAGGACGTTCGTTCAGCCACTCAAGAGTATGTGGCCGCGCTGCTCAAGGTGAACATTAGAGTCAGTCGGGTTTTAAACCGACAAAAAATTGTTTTGTTTTTATATTTTGTTTTCAATTCATTTTAGCTAAGGTTTTAGTCATTTTGTTGTGCTTTTGTCATTTTTATTAGTTTTATTCTTTATGTCTACATAGTATTATTTATTTAAAAATGTATTTTAGTTCTTTAGTACTTGAAGATAAACGAAAAAAAAAGATTTGCCTAACCCTGGCTCGGCATCTAGCTGAAATAAAATGAGTTTAAGTTTTTTTTAATATATTTTCATGTTTAATTTTATTTTAGCATTTTAAGTAACAAGTTTATAGTTTTAGTTCTAGTTTTTTGCTAACAATGATCCTGCTAACAGGAAGTAATGTGCGATAAGATTTGAGAATTGTTAAAGGGGTCCTATTATGCTCTTTTACAAAGTCTTGATTTTGTTTTTGGGGGTGTACTAGAACATGCTCTCATGCTCGGTGGTTCGTAAAATGCATTATTTTTCACATAATTTACATTATTACAATACCTTTCTCCCCAGGCTGGCACAAACGGCTCGATTAGTTCCGGGTTTGATGAAGGCCCGCCTTCCGAAAAACTAAATGTGTTGTGATTGGTTAGCTGTCCCAGTGCGCTGTGATTGGCGAACAGCTTAGGCGGTGTTTCAGTACTGCCCCGCCCCCTTGCCAAAGCAGCAAGTTCCACCTGCTCCGGTTTAGTTAAGGATGGCGTCAATATCAATTTGAGCCGGATTCAGACCCCGAGAATATTGAACAAGAGGATCGCGCAGAACCTTTGCACGCACGGATATTGCAAGACATATTAGAGTGGTAACGTTATTGTTGTTGTTGTTTTTTTGGCTAAATCACGTTTTAGATACGATGTCAACAACCGCTTAAAATAAGTGCATTTACTATGTACAGATAAGTGCAACGGTAATATGTTTATTGTTCTTTAATTCTAACGTTGGTTTTATACCATAGTCTCATAATTGAAGTGTAAATTCTGCAGATTGCATCATTATCCAGTATTGTACTGTCAGCAATTTATGAAAATAACCAACGTTTCTTCGACATGGCGAAAACTTGAGGCTACAGCAGCACTTTTTCTTCCTCGTCGTCGTCTTGATGCACTCAACCAAGCGTTCTAACCACGACCTCGCCCCTCCCCGCAACCATTCGAATGTCTGTAGGCGGGATTTATTTTATTATATTCTAATGAACCACTTTGTGACATCACAAGTTGTAACATGAATTGCAGTGAAACTGTTATAGAGTTTTATACCATAGTCTCATAATTGAAGTGCAAATTCTGCAGATTGCATCATTATCCAGTATTGTACTGTCAGCAATTTATGAAAATAACCAACGTTTCTTCGACATGGCGAAAACTTGAGGCTACAGCAGCACTTTTTCTTCCTCGTCGTCGTCTTGATGCACTCAACCAAGCGTTCTAACCACGACCTCGCCCCTCCCCGCAACCATTCGAATGTCTGTAGGCGGGATTTATTTTATTATATTCTAATGAACCACTTTGTGACATCACAAACCCCGGAAGCCAACGCTGTAGTCCAAACGAGCCGTTCGTTGTAGTTCTTGAAAAGGGATTAAAAAAAAACAAAAACGAAATATCTCCCTTTGGAGTGGACTTAGAGATACACACTACACACAAGAGTGAAAAAGCATATTAATTATAAAAGTGATTGATCTGGTGTGAATGTGAAAACCAATACGCAAGTATCACTCACATGAACTGGTTTGGTTCTCCCTCAGAGTTGTGCCGGTCCAATCAGATTGGAGGTGGGTCGTTTTAAGGCGGGGCCTTTCCACTCGGAGCGCCGTCTGTCTCAGAGCAGTCAGGTCAGACGCACATCCCACTGTTAAAGACTCACATCCATCTGAAGCTATGATCACAAAACACATTCTCACACAATGAGCGAGTCTGTTCTCGAAGTCAGATTTTAAGCAGGTTTGACATCTGTGACTAGTTGGAGCGTGCACCAGTGTTATTATAGTAGTGTTTATGGTAACACTTTACAATAAGGTCTCATTTGTTAACATTAGTTAATGCATGAACTAACAATGAACATAATATTTGTTACACTTTATTTTAAGGTGTCCTTGTTACACTGTAATTATACATTTAAGTACTGAGTAATATTAATGAACTACATGTACTTATTATATGGTTAGTGTTACTTGCATGTAATTATGCATAATTAATTGTTATTATAATAGTAAGTACATGTAGCATGTGTAACAAGGACACCTTAAAATAAAGTGTTACCTAGTATTTTTGCAGCATTTATGAACCTTTGTTAATGTTAGTTAAAATAAAAAGTTTGTTTGTTCACACTGCATTAACTAATGTTAACAGATACACTTTTGATTTTAATGATGCATTAGTAAATGCCAAACTTAACTAAGATTAGTAAATGCTGTAGAAGTATTGTTCATGTTAAGTAATATAGTTAACTAATGTTAAAAAATTAAACCTTATTGTAAAGTGTTACCTTATTTATACTTTATTTTATATTTATTATTATTATATGTATTATTTATTATTTCAAATCACATAACCATCCATAGTATGGCATGCAGTGCCATTTTATTATTACAAATATTAATTTAAATTTAATATTAAAAATAAAAAAAATGGTAAGAAATGTAAAAGTTAAAGAATAAAACTAAAATACAGGAATAAAAGAATTTACATATAAAAAAAATAATATACTAAATAGAATAGTACTGAAATTAATTATATAGAATATGTACAAAATAAATAGCAATAGAAATACATTTTATGCTATTGTATTTATTTATTATTATTATATGTATTATTTATTATTTCAAATCACATTTGTATTTGTCATATACATAACCATTCATAGTATAACATGAAGAAAGTCTAAGACATGTAAAAGTTAAAGAATAAAACTAGAATATAGGAATAAAAGAATTTACATATAATACAAAATTATAATATAATAAAATAATATACTAAATAGAATAGTACTGAAATTAATTAAAAGATAAAAGTTAGAAATAGAATATGTACAAAATAAATGGCAATAGAAATACATTTTATACTATTGTATTTATTTATTATTTTATATTTATTATTTATTTATTATTTTTTACTATTATAGTATTTGTTAATATTTTGAATTAGCTTTTATTTTCCATTTTTTTATTTTCATTCAGATTAAGCTTTAGTAATTTTTTTACTCATTTATTTTTTGTTTATAATTTATATAATTATTATTTTTTTAATTTCAGTTTTAGTCATTTTAGTTCTTCAGCTTTTTTGAGTTGTATTTATATTTTATTTCAGCTTTTATTTCACAAAAAAACAGTTTTAATCATTAGTTTTAGTTAACGCTGGTGTGCACCTAAAAGGGCAGATTAGTCAACAACTGAAAGCACAAAATTCGATGAGTTTGAGTCATGCAGTCTGTGTTTGGTATGTTTGCGCTCAGATGTGTGTAATATCTCTGTATTTCCAGATCAGCGAGACGGGCAGCGGGAAAGTCACTGCTGCTTTACAGGGAGACACCGAGAAAACATACGGATGTAAGAACATACAGCAGTCCGTCCGCTCAAACCACTGCACGTTATGATTCATGCTCGATTCTTGATTTTCAACCTTTCCTTTCTTGCCTTGCAGTGCTGGATAGAGACGTCAGGACGGTTGAATTCACAAAGGTCAGTTACACTGATTCAGTCTCAAGGCCTGTTCACACAGAGAGCGAATAGATTTGACAGAGTTTTGCTCTCTGTTTTTTATTTTTTATTTTTTCTAACAAACTATTAAAATAACCAATAAAATAAGATCATTTGGGTCATGTGTCTAGGCTGTGAGGCTCATTTGTTTCCTGTGTGTGTGTGTGTGTGTGTGTGTATGTGTGTTTCCTTGTGTGTGTGTGTGTGTGTGTGTCTCAGGGCCCGTCAGACTCTCTGGGCATCAGTATAGCAGGAGGGGTCGGCAGTCCTCTGGGTGATGTGCCCATATTCATCGCCATGATGAACCCCAGCGGTCTGGCAGCTCAGACGCAGAAACTCTGGGTATGTGTGTGTTTAACATCTGAACCAGAGTTACAAAACTTTTTTTGTCCAGTGGAAGGTCTATAAAGCTGGTGTGTATTTGTGACCCTGGACCAGTCATAAGGGTCAATTTTTTGAAATTGAGATTTATACTTCATCTACAACTATTTGAAAATCTGGAATCTGAGGGTGCAAAAAAATCTAAATATTGAGAAAATCATCTTTAAAGTTGTCCAAATGAAGTTCATAGAAATGCATATTACTAATCAAAAATTAAGTTTTAATATATTTACGGTAGGAAATTTACAAAATATCTTCATGGAACATGATCTTTACTTAATATCCTAATGATTTTTGGCATAAAAGAAAAATCGATAATTTTGACCCATACAATGTTTTTTTGGCTATTGCTACAAATATCCCCCAGCGACTTGAGACTTTCACATTTGTGAATCGCAGTCTCTCGTGTTTATTATGTTTGTGTGTGGAATAGATTGGAGACAGGATTGTATCTATCTGTGGAGACTCGACTGAGGGAATGACTCACAATAAAGCTGTTTCACTGCTGAAGAACACGACAGGCATCATTCAACTACAGGTACAAAGCACCACGGCACAGCAGCCATCGCATCCACTGTGACAAGAAGCATTCACTTCAGCATACATTACAAAAATAAAAGAATTCTCTTAATTGTGAACTGAATGTCATGTTTTCTAAATCTTAATGGCATGTTAATTGCAATTAAATGAAAATGTATTATAGTTTAAATGTATATTTAATGCAGTTAGCTGAACTCTAGTGTGCTTTTTGACCCACTTACAGTTTTTAAGCATTGCTTAGACACTAAAAGCGGTACTTGAGGCGCACTCAGTGAAACCATTCACTCATCTACCTAATCTATAGGGTCGTTGCTGGCGATACAACAGTGACTGGACCGTCAGCAGAGCAGACAGCAGGACTCACAGCCAGCAGCATTTTTCACGATGACCTGGGGTTTGTACACAAAACTCTCTTCAGCCGTCATAAAATAACACTCATCATGTGCCAAATATGACTAAAATCTGGCTTTAGTGAGCAAACAGAATAATGGTTGGTTTATCCTGAATTTTAATGATAATCAGTTCCTTTCTGTATTCAAGTCACCTTTATTTCTACAGCGCTTTATACATTACAGATCGTGTCAAAGCAGCTTCACAGAGATAAACAGGAAAATAGCAGAATTAAATATAGAAACTCCACTAGCAAACAGATTCTCTAAAAGACAATAGTGTCATTATAAATCATATTTTCTCTCAATTTATTATGCATAATCGTCTGCAATGTTTGCCTGCTGATTATTTTATTCCTGAAAATGTTTCATTTGAATTTGGCATGTGTTATCTTGTATTGGTAACAAGCCTTCACAAGCTTTCAGGGTTGCGGTTGCCAGATACTTAAAAAAGAAAAGAAAATTTAATTCAGAACTCCATGAATTCTGGACTCATACAGTGCGTGCATTTTTGCATTTCAGCCAAACACTCTGATCTTTGATCTTTTTTTTTTTTATCTTTAAATATGAATGCATACATAATTTGATTTCATTTTTTTAAGGTTATATAACACCCAATGTCATTGTATGAGAAGAAAGTCAATAACTGGTTACATCCTCATTAGCAAAAATAATTGCAGCCAAACACATCGTATGAATGAATGAATAAATAAATAAAATTGCATATCAGGTAAGAAATGTATTTGTGAGCCTGGAGCACAAAAGCAGTGTTAAGTCGCTGGGGTATATTTGTAGCAATAGCCAACAATACATTGTATGGGTCAAAATTATCGATTTTTCTTTCATGCCAAAAATCATTAGGATATTAAGTAAAGATCATGTTCCATGAAGATATTTTGTATCAAAACTTAATTTTTGATTAGTAATATGCATTGCTAAGAACTTCATTTGGACAACTTTAAAGGCGATTTTCTCAATATTTAGATTTTTTTGCACCCTCAGATTCCAGATTTTCAAATATTGTCGTATCCTAACAAACCATACATCAATGGAAAGCTCATTTATTCAGCTTTCGGATGATGTATAAATCTCAATTTAAAAAAACTGACCCTTATGACTGGTTTTGTGGTCCAGGGTCACATATGGTCACATTCCTAATTTAACCCCCTCTGGTCAAAAAGTGCATTTTTGATACTTTTCTCTTCTAATCATGCCCGTTTGATGGATAGAAAATAATGCAATTTAAAAAGTGAAATCAAATCATCATTCTCTTCATCCGTCTGTGTGTGTGTCCAGTCCTCCGCAGTGTAAGAGCATTAGTTTGGAGCGAGGGC